AGGTTTGCATTTTAATAACTCTGTGTACTTTAGTTACCATACCAGTCCCATATCCTACCACTTGATGACATGTCAATAATGCAGTACTGTACTCAAGTATTACACCAGACACATTACTCAAAAAAAATAAGGAAGAAACAAGGCTTGCAACATATCTACACAATGATTATGATGAAGTTTACTAAAGTGAGCTTAGCATAATATTTTTAAAAAATATTTGTGTTTACAAGGGCATTGTGGGCAGAATATTCCAGTATTTTTGGAATCAAGGAATAAGATTGAAATTCTCAGTCAAAGAAAAAAATTACTGTTTTACAAAAGTATCATCAATAGAACAATTAATTCCCAGCAATTTGTCAATTTCAAGAAAGGTAATTACAGTACAGTCAACCCTAGCTTAACGTTTTTAGTTGGTGCAGCAGGAAAAAACGTTAGCTGAAAAAAAACGTTAAGCGAGGTAGTCTCTCCCTTAAGATAATATAAGGGAGAAACGTTTAATTGGTGTCAGGCAAAATCTTCCAAAGGTAAAATTCAGAAAAAAATTAATCAAAGAGTGTATTCCAACAACTGAGCTTTACGCACTGCCATTACATTCAAAAAGTAACCACAGTTCTTCACTCAATTAAAATCGGAGATTCATTTTAAACAAGGAAAGGTCCAAGTGTTACCCAAAATTCAGTGTGTGACACTGCAATTGTTCATAAAATAATTGTAACACCACACTACCACACAGGAAACACATTTAAAGCTGCGGAAAAAGTCACATTCAAGAAAATGTACAGGAGGGAGGCATCCACATTGATCACCTGGTGCCGCACAACTGCAGAACGTTAAGCGGATTTCAGAACCTTAAGTGAGGGGATTTTTCTCACAGGACCAGGAATGTTAAGTGAAAAAACATTCAGCAAACAGAACATTAACCAAGGGTTGACTGTACTGTATTCTCAGATATTAAAATTACATCTTTGTTTCAGCTGATGTAGATTATTATTTTCAGGCATTTGAAGGGTAAAATGAAAAAAATCACCTCTTATTCACTAACACATATTCAAGTTGAATATAGGTAGAAGGTGCTTTAAATTGAAGGATTTTTGCTTCAATCTAAGAAAATTGTGGTTTAAAATGTATAATGATTCAGAAGGGTCAATTGATCACTGTGATCACATGTAGACTATTATCTCTGTATTAATGTTCATTGTTGAACAATGACTCATTTCCTTCAAAGAATTCTGTACATGTTGATCATGCAAAAAGTATTATTCATGAAACTGTCAAGGCTATACAGTAAAATGAGGCAAAATAATCTTAGTTTTGAATGGAAGTCTCTAAATATTATCATCACAAAAGAATGTAGCATAACTTGATTAGTATAATTTAGTAAGTTCCAGTGTACAGTATATTTGAAAGCACATGTGCATCATTGTAATTTATACAGTCTTCCTCTGAATTTGTTCTTCTGCTGTAAAACTATAGAGGCATGTCATTGATGGAGAGTTGAAGCTTTTTGAATAACATGAATTTGATCTCAGCCCTGACTCTGATTTCCATATGAGGAGTAGGTAAGCTTGTTTTGTCTGAAGTGTCCATAAATTTCCACCTCCATCCACACACTGATTTACATCACCACCTAAACCCCCCTGATAAGAACCTTCACCATGAGCTGCAAAATTCCATGTTTTACCTGAGATGAGATACAACATTTATCCTGACATGAGATCATTCCACAATTTCCGGGTGCTTCTGTGGAAAAATGTTCTGCTTTACTGGCGCCACAAAGGAATGCTGGTGCTGCATTTTGTTTTCTCACTGGCTGCCATGTTGCTCATCAAATATGCCTCTCAGGACCCTTCATCTCACCCAGGCTTTGCCACACAGACAAAAGGAATTATCCTTGAAGGAATGGAGCCAGGAGATTTGCCAGTGGTTCCAGACATGCATAAATCTGAGGCAAGGTATATAATCAAGCAGGTCTGTGGGGAATTTTGAGAGATGCCCCTTAATTAACTGTTAAATAGCTGGTTCCCAAGGGTCCCTGGGTTCTTCCAGAGCCCTAATCACCAAGATGCATCACCTGTGGCTTCAATCAAGCAGGATTCCAATGATGCCTCATCCCACATTCCAGAGTGTGAGGCCATTTTGAATGAAGGCATCAGTGGCTTGATCTGCTCAGAGGCTATGAAAGCATTCCCTGGAACCAATGTGGCTTTCATAATACTTCCTCACACTCCTCCCAACCCCAAAGAAAGGTGTTACACATTTGTTCTCTGCACTTCAAATGCTGCTGTGGACACTTACTTAATGACTGAGACAGAAATCAGGTCTTCTGCAGCCAATTCATACAGGTTGCAATGGGCTATGAATTTGGTGAATAATGAGAACATGTTGAAACATGATGAGTGAGTATATGAAGTGTTCATCTCTCACTCCTTGAAAAAGGATTCATGCTCAACCATAGTCATCACCAACACTGAACATCCTCCATTAAAAATAAATTGGGGGAAAAGGGTGATCTGAAAAATATTTTTGGACAAAAATGCATGAATTTCTGGGAGTTGCCACTTTAGGTAATTAATTATACTTTGCTTGATCTCTTTATTGGGGAATACATGCAAAATTAATGTACTTAAAACATCAATTACACAGAAGGAAACAATTATTTACAGTCATGCATAGTTTTCACCATTTTGAATCTTTTTCTGATTGCATCAGTAAAATTTTCAAAATTTGAATAACATCCTGTAGCAGCATGTAAGTTAACCACAGATGGACTCTCTCTCTCGCTCTTCAATGATCCTGTTTAAACAGTTTTCTCTGTATAATTTTCCTTGGGTTCCAAAGGGTTCTCTTCCCATGTTGAATGTGTTCTCTGCAACAAATTTATCTTTTTTAAATATTTTTCTGGCCCCTTGAATTTCATTAAATAGAGAGAGTCCACCTGCAGTATTTTCTCCCATTGGAAGATATACAGTAGAATCTCTTTAAAAAAAATTTAGTTTGAATGAATTAACAATCACAAGAAGGTAGGTCTTTTTTAGGTCCCTGCCCAAAAACCACAGTACCAAATGAGTTACTTTGTAATGCATTTTTAATTTTATTCAAGTTTTTTCACCAAACCCAATGGCTTAATTATAATGAGGTTTTACTGTATCTCTGTGATATGTGTGATTAGTTGAAAGAAACAGAATGATGTCAAAACATATAATGTATATAGATATCATGAATCATTTTTGCTTTCATAAATTGTGGATGCAGAGACATGATCAGCAACCCAGATCCCAGACAACAAGCAATTGCCCTCAAACTTCAAGATGCTGCCATCACATATGACAAGTTCTCTGTGAGCTTCAGAAGAAGAGAGATTTTTGTGTATGTGATTATCTGCACATACTTGTTCTACATGCCTATTTTCCTCCACCCTCTGGCATTGGAGAAGAAATTGGGCATCAAGGTATGACATGAAACCCATTTTTTTAATGTTTTCATGAACTCCTGAGGAATTCTTCTGAAGGACATTTTCAGAGCAATGGGGGTTAGCAGAATGCAATACTGGCTTTCCTGGTGGACAATAGATGGGGCAATTGTCTGCATTATAACACTGGTCATCCTCTGCTGCCTATACATTCCAGTCTTCTCTCAAGAGCCTGGCCAGCACATGTTCTCTCAGCAGCCAAAATATCTGATTTTGCTGCTACTTTTGGCTCATGGCTTTGAAATAATTGCATTCACATGCCTGATTGCCAATGTGTGCCCCAATTCATCATTTGGGGTGACAGTTGGGCTACTGTTCAGGCTACTCATAGCATCTCTGGTGTCTGAAATGGCAGTGTATGGCAGACTTTTTGATCACCCTTTGTATGCCCTGGTACCAAGTGCACCCATGTACATTCTCATGGAACCAGCAAGGGGTGCAGCTTCCAGGAAAAATGATCTTGAATGGATGGCCATGACCAGTGTGATGGTCTACATGGTGCTCTTTTGTCTACTTGCTTGCTATGCTGAGCCCCTGGTTCCAGGCAAATTTGGAGAGAAGATGAGCCCTGGGTATTTGTTTGACAAAAGCTACTGGACTGGTGAATGGGGACCCAGTGTGATTAAGGATCAGAAAGAAGAAAATGATAAATTCTGGAGGATTCAAGAAATTCAACAGGCAAAAAGGCCAAATGTGAGTGGATGTCAACCAGCAGTAAAATAATTCCCAATTAAAATGAACTTCCTTTTCACTAATTAAACTCAATCAACTTCAGTTCACTTCAGTAACAATTCAATTTTACTGCATTTCAAATTTGATTTTAGTAATTCGAATTCTAAACTTTCTGAATATTCTAGAAATTTTAAACTTTCTGAATATTCTAGAAATTTTAAACTTTCTGAATATTCTAGAAATTTTAACTTTCTGAATATTCTAGAAATTTTAAACTTTCTGAATATTCTAGAAATTTTAAACTTTCTGAATATTCTAGAAATTTTAAACTATATGAATATTTTAGAAATTTCAAACTCTCTGAATATTCTAAAAATTTTAAACTATGAATATTTTAGAAATTTCAAACTTTCTGAATATTCTAGAAAGTTTAAACGTTCTGAATATTCTAGAAATTTTAAACTTTCTGAATATTCTAGAAATTTTCAAATTGATGTAATTTATCCAAGCAACTTCAACTTTTAACTGTAACATTCCTTGCATTTCCATTAAAAATCCCTCAAATTCACCCTGTTACATCAGGTGCTACCTTGCAATTTGACCTCCTGCAATTCAAACATCCTGCAATTTGACAAGTCAAATTTGCAGGGAGGTTGACTTGCAATCCAACCCTTGCCCCACAATTTGACCTACTTTAGCCATTTTTGGAAATTTTTTATTTATAGTTTTGAATTTCATGGAGTGTCTTGCAATTTGACCCCAGTATGGCAAAAGATTAGGGTAAACTTGCAAGGTACCACCTGTACCCTGCAATTTGACCTCCCACACAATTCAACTCTCCTGCAATTTGATGGTTGAATTTGCAGGGAGGTTGAGTGGCAATTTGACCTCCGCTCTGGAATTTAACATACTTTGGCCTTCTTTTTTAAATTTGACCCTATTCCAGCAATGGATTAGGGTTGAATTGCAATAAGGTACCACCTGTTTTTCTTCATTTAAAATGCAATTACACTTCCATTATGTACCCAAAATGTATACTAAAAGCATTTTGTGTCTACCCTTGATATAATTTCTGTACTTATTCAACTTCATTTCCATCTTCACTTGAATTGCTTTCAAACCCAACAAATCAGAAGTAGAAATGTCATTCAACATAGGTGCTCCCTGATGTGGCAATTGTAGCAGAAAACTTGCACAAGGACCATGCCAAAGTATCTGGTTGCTCTACATGCAGAAATTCAACAGCTATGAAAGGAATATCCTTTGTTGCTTTGGACAATCAGATAACTGTGTTCCTGGGGAAAAATCACTCTGGGAAGACCACACTGATGCACACCCTAGCAGGTTAACTTGACATGCACATGTCTTTTTTTTTCCTCATAGCATCAACCTCATTAATGAATGGCAGGCTTTTGCAGACAATCAAGCGGTTCCATCAGAGTGTACAAAAAGGCAAAGGAGACACCAGTTGGGATCTGCCCCTATGCAGACTACCTGTACCCTGAGCTAACCCCAAGGGAACACCTTTACCTTTATGGAGGCCTCAGGGAAATTGATTGGGGGGTTGTTGGGGATGAAACTACTGTTTTGCTGGACATTGTCCACTTGTTACACAGAAGGCATGACAGGTGTGGAACCTTGTCTTTTGCCCTGAGGAGACTGGTGTCCTTACTTGCAGCAGTTGTCGGTCGTCCAAGGTTATTTTTGAAGAAGATTCATTAGTGCCTCAAACTCAATTGATTCTAATTTTGCAACTTTTGGTTTGGTTTCATGGATTTCTGAAATCATACAGGTGCATGAACAGAATCCACATGTTCATTTGCTAAACAAACCATTGCTCCATGAACAGCTCTGTGGTTTGTGCAGAGACTCATTATATACAGTTGAACCTCTGTTAGTCAAATTTCTAAGGACCAGGAAAAAATTTGGCTTAGGGAGGTTTTGATTTCTGTAGGCTTCCAGTTAAGGAAACAAACACTTATGTTGCCAGGAGAAGTGAAAAAGTGTGGGAAATTGTACATGAGGATATTTTGGGCCTGAACTTGCTCATTAATGAGTTTACACTTTGCTAAACTTGGAGGCAGAGGTTTTTTTGATTTATTAGTCCTTCACTTATTCCTTTCAAGATGCATGAAATCATTTGTTTTAATGATTTTCTCTTTCATTTTTCAAGGAAATAATAACTGAAATGCCTCAGAAGATTTGACTTACAGAGGTTTAAGAGAAAGAGTTGGGGAGATTTTTAATGCATTGATTCTAAGGGAATTCAGTCAGGGACTTGAAAAAAAAATTAAAGTTAAGGAGGAATTTTACTTAGAGAGGTTTGACTTATCAAGGTTCAACAGCAGAAGCTCCAAAAAGTGTTGATTTCCAGATTTTATCCACACAATAATTCAAAATCAAGATCAATCTAAAGTGAAGATTTCCTTGAAATTTTAAAATTATTTTCTCTCCGCTCTTTGCTTTGATCAAAAACTTTGTATTTTTCCCTTCATGCTAAAATTCACCTGTACAGATTGAATTTGAAAATTATACTTTGCATTTAAATAAATATGTTTGGCCTTTCAAGAAGAAGGGGCAGTTGAAGCCACTGATTGGGTTTTCCCAGTTTCTGGAGAGTTTTTTCAATTGGTCAACTTTCACATACATTTCACAAGATTGCTTCAGCACCCTTGTGATGTCAAGGTGCTCTTCATAGTCATTTTTTTCAGGCAAACTTGTAGTTGTACTTTAAATTATGCATATTTGAGCCAGCTTTTTGATTCTGCAGACTGATCATGATAGATCAGCCATCTGAGGGCACAGACAGACAAACCCAAAATGCTCTGTGGACTCTGCTCAAAGTGTTGAAGGAAGACAGAACCATTGTATTCACCACACAGTCAGCCAAAGAAGCATCTGCTCTGGGAGACAGGATTGTCATGATTCATAAAGGGGAAAATGTTATCAGTGGATCCATGGCAGAGATTGAAGCAGCTCTAATTCCTGGGCAACCTGCTCACCTGGTGATAACACCAGCACCTGGAAGAAATGCTGCAGACACAGACATCCTGATCAGAACTGCATTCCCTTCTGCTTTCTTGCTCCCTTGCACCATCAAAAATGATCAACTAATTTACCAGTATAATCCAAGAAATCAAGCAAAACTGCTGATGGATCAAATAGAAGCAGCCAAGGGAGAGCTTGGGGTGCAAACAGTGAAAATGGGTTCACATGATGAGAGTTATGAAGATGAGACTGCATTTTTGCTTGCTGGTGAAATGCCCACACCTTCTGCCAAGAGACCAAGATCATTCTCCTGGGCACCAAATCCTGCACAGAACTTGCCAGATGCCAGTGTAAGTGCCCACCTGAAAGCAGAGCTATGGAAGAAGGGTCTTGTAGCTTTGAGGAGAAAATGGCTCATCATGTTTCAATTGGCTGCTATCATCTTAGCTGCCATTGTTATCATGATCAGTGCCAATAAAGTAGCATCAGACTTTGCTGTCAGCCATTTGAGGGAAGATTCACCAGATTCAACAACCTCAAACCATGCAGCAAAACTACAAAATGCTGACAAAGTGAATATTTGTCCATTTAGGTGGTACCTTGGTACTGCATTGACTTGGTATTCTGTCACTCTGCATCCCAGTAAAATCAATTCACTGTTCAGCATTAAATTCTGATGTCAAGGGACCTTATAGTTTAGCTTTTCACCATGCTGTCATAGTAAGTCAATACCATGCAAAACTTGTACAGTTCC